ATTCACAGTACCCTAGCAACCACACATCACCCGCATCATCCTAGAAACCATATAGTATCATCCACATCCCCCAAGCAACAACAAAACATCACCCTAGAAATCACATAGCATCATTCAAATTACCATAGCAACCACATAGCACCATTCACAACACCCTAGCAACAACACAGCATCACAATAGAAATCCCATAGCAACATTCACATTACCCTAGCAACCACACAGCATCATCCGCATCACCCTAGCAACCATATAACTTCGTCCACACCACGTAGCAACAAAACATCACCCTAGCAACCACATAGCAACATTTACATTACCATAGCAACTGCTTTGCATCATTAACATAACCTAGCAACCACACAGCATTATACACATCTTCCTAGCAACCACGTAGCAGCATTCACAATACCCTAGCAACAACACAGCATAACAAGAAATCACAGAGCACAATCCACAAAACCATAGCAACCACATCACCTACAGTATTACCATCACACTCTAACAAAGTGTGTGTGTGTGTGTGTGTGTGTGTGTGTGTGTGTGTGTGTGTGTGTGTGTGTGTGTGTGTGTGTGTTTGTGTGTGTGTCTACAGGGCAGTAGTGGTGATTTCATCTGCACTGTTTATCTGGAGGAGAAACGGGAAACAGCTGAACAGCATGTGAAGGTAGGTGAGGGTCTTACTGTTGAAGATCTGAACAGAACCAGCACTCACTCATGTATTTTTTCAGTTCATCTTCATTTGTACAGCGCTTTTACAATGTAGATTGTGTGAAAGCAGCTTCACATAGAAGATTATATTGAATTGACAAGTCATTGTATAATCCCGATTATTTTGGTCATAACTGTAATCACGATTACTCAAAACGATTATCAGTTGAAGTCAACATTATTCGTCCTCCTGTGAATTTATTTTTATATATAAATATTTCCCAAATGATGTTTAGCAGAGGTTTTTTTTTTACAGTATTTCCTATAATATTTTTTCTTCTGGAGAAAGGCTTATTTGTTTTATTTCAGATAGAATAAAAGCAGGTTTGAATATTTTGAAACCTATTTTAATAGCTCGATATTATTAGCCCCTATAAGCAATATAGATGTTTAATTGTCTGCAGAAGAAACGACTGTTATACAATGACTTGTCTATTTACCCAAATTAAGCCTTTGAATGTCACTTTAAGCTGAACACTAGTATCTTGAAGAATATCTAGTAAAATATAATGTGCTGTCATCATAGCAAAGATCAAAGAAATCAGTTATTAGAGATGAGTTATTAAATCTGTTATGTAAACTGTGCTTTAAGCATCTTCACTGTGTTTTTGATTTTATTATTGATTAATGAAATAAACAGTCGGCAGCAGCAGGAATATCACACGCTGTCACTTTAAGAGTGTGGTTCTGATATGGTTTCTCTTTCTCGTGTCTTTTGATTCTCAACTTGTTTGTTTATTACACAAATGAGGGTTAATATGAATAATCACTAAACACCGCGCTCTGACACAAATGTGCATGTATTGACCATTAAAACGCTGTCCGCGGCTAAGCACGGCGTGCACACACACACAACAGCACATGCTCTTTTGCGCTTTTAAAATTATGAATGATGCGCATCCCGTGCTGGAAAAGTTACATTACACATAGCTTTTAGTCATTTTCACATGGAACTGAGCTTTGCAGAGGCAAAGAGTTTTCACACGTGTACAACTGGAAAGGGGGCGGTACGTGATGGAATAATCCTTTATCTCGATTAATGGCTTTTCATAATCGTTACAAGCCGAAATCGAAATCGTAGGCTGGAGAACGGTGGATGTTAGAGAGACTCGTCTGTCCCCGGAGTCTCACAGGAATCAGTCTCATGCTCTCCACTCCTCCATGACCACCACAGCCGCTGCTCAGGATACAGCCTGGTCCAGGATTATGGAAGCCTTGGGATCATCTCTTCAGAGGTCTTGGATCACATCAGTGACTCTGCATAGTCTGAGAGCCTCAGGATGAGTATCCCCAGGTGGAAATAGAGAGTAAGGAGAATATCTAGCGTAGCTGCTGTTCATAGTGTATATAAAGGAGATGCAGAAACCTGTGTGGAGCACATTCATGTATCACACCGCTGAGTGCTGCACTGAGTGTATGCTTTACTAAACAGACAGGTCTTTACTCTAGTGTTGAACTGAGAGAGTGTGTCTGAGCCTCGACATTATCAGGAAGGCTATTCCAGAGTGTAGGAGCCATAAATGAGAAGGCTCGACCTCCTTTAGTGGACTTTGCTGTTTGAGGTACTACCAGCAACCCTGAGTTTTGACATCTTCAAGAGCTTACAGCTTTTATTGCAATATTCCAAAATGCACATAAGAAACTCTGGATGGAGCCATGGCTAACACTGATAATGTTTGACCGTCAGATTCCAGCGACGATGACGGCAGCAGAGCTGACATTTGAGGTTCTGGACAGACGGAAAATCAGCGTGAAGGAGAAAGACTACTGGTGCTGCTTCGAGGTCAACGAGAAGGAGGAGATAGGTGAGAAGCAGAACAACACACACACACACACATATATGCACAAACACACACACACACACATACAAATACAAACATACAAAAAAGTTATACACACATATGCTCAAACAAACACACACATACATATACACACAAACACACACTCACCTATACACACACTACACACATATACACACTGCACACATACTTACACACACACACTCATACAAAAACACTACACACATACATATACACGAACACACACACATACAAAAACACTGTAAACTACACACAGACACAGACATACACGCACATACATATAAACACACAAACATCTTTACTGTACACACAAATACACAAATATGCTGTACACACACACACTTCAAACATACACACACATATACATACATGTACGTTTACAAACACACATACACACTCACAGTAAGTTTTATTGTGAACATGAGGACTTTTATCATGTATTGAAACTGTAAAAGTGTGTGTTGTGTATT